ATTCATCACCATTAGATTAGTTTTAATATACTAATACTACATTACAACCCTTGGATCAATTTTCATTCTGTTCTAATTGTCTACATATTATATAAGAAGACATGGGAATTTAATGTAGCACTCCCATTTCTTGACACATGACATAACTCTCCTTCGAGAAATCTGTGATTTTTCTCCCATTTTTTATTTTTCTACTTCTATCTTGATGGATCAAGACAAAAGATATACCATACAGGATAAGACGAAAGATTTCAATTGCAAGTCATTTTGCATAACTACAAGAACTTCTACTATTTTTTATATATTGTCTAATTTATGACTTTAGGATCAAGCTTTATAGATTAATGAAAAACTTTTAATCCTTGGATATTGATTAATTATGTTTGATTAGTAGCTAACTAACTATTACATTTAAACAGCTCCTTTATGTAATCAATTAAAGTCTTTTTTTCTATTTCTTTATAAATCGTTTCTAAAAGTTGCACAGAAAAATCAGATTTCTTCCTTCCCAATTGTATTCAAATGTACACCTGTTTCATTGCTTGCCTTCATTAACTTCAAGATTAGTGATGGATTTAATAGATGCTATGTTTATTGTCTCCTTGATTTAGAAGAGCTAACTTCATAGATGGAATTTCTTCTGATGCTTAATTTTTCTCATGTTTTGTCTATTATGTACCAAAAAGTTTACTGTTATATGTTCAATTAAGTTATGAGGGAGCCAAGGCCGTGCCTTGCATAGCCGAGATACCTCTAGTATATATATATATATATATATATATAAAGGAAGACGTGGGGTTTGAAGTAAACAATTTTTGTGACTTTTTATATTTTTAACTTTACCCTTATGAAATTTACTTATTACTATCTAAACATGAATTCCTAAGATATAACTATTTTTTAATCAGAACTATATAAACACATTTTGACAAATTAACTACTTCTAGACATTGTAGCTATCAAAATAACCATCATTTGATGCAAAAAAAAATATTAAAATAATAGAATTTGCTTAAGTGATGAAAATTTTATTCAAAAAAAAAATATTTTTGAATTGCCCACACATCGTGTGTATGCCTTTAGGGCTAATCTATATAATATATGAAGGAAAGCAGATTTTTGGCGCAAACACATAATTTTCTCACTTTTCTTTTTTTGTTCTTTCTAAATTATCCTTGATAGATATCAACTAACATATTTCTTTTTATCACTTCCCTCATAATTCCAATAAAAGTACCTTTCTTAATATATATAATTTCATTTAAGAATGAGCATATGAGTAATATGTATATTTTATTATTTTGATTTTAACTTATTTAATAAATTTATTTTTATCAGTAACTAGCAAATATATAGTTATGGGCTGCTATTGAATAATTATCTATTTTCACATATTGTTTGGTGAATGTTCTACAAATACACTAAAAAAAATTTCTACAAAGGTTCTTTTATATACTGTAATTATGCATACACATCGAATAATTCTTTCTTTTTTTTTTTGACAAAAAAAAAGAAAGAAAGAAAGAAGTTAGGAAGTAGGAGGGAACGTGTCAAGGTAGGAGGAGTTGCATGCGGCCGGGCTTTGTCGGAGGACAACGCGTGTCTACAACCGAAAAAATTTTGGAAATCAAAGCACCTCACAGTCACAGCCAGAGGCCGGTGGCAGTCGGCGCTTTCATCTCATCTCATTTCTGTTGGCGTATACGACTGCTCCCTTCATATATCATATTCAGAGACTCGCCAGAGGTTGGTTTTCATCTCACCTTGTGAGGCCCTGTTTCGTCCATCTAATTTGCTACCGAGTCTTACTTGATTCTAAGCAGAATAGACTGCCCATCTGGGCTACTTTTAGTAGTAACTGATAGTATTTGATACCGCCGAGGAGACCTGAAAGAGAAGAATGGCTCAGGTCACATTCACCACACATGGAGAGAGGATGCAATCCTTTAAGCTTTTGAGCGGCCACGCCATACCTGCCGTGGGTTTAGGAACCTGGAAATCTACCTCCCCCAAGCTCAGCACCCTGTTTACTCCGCCATTGTTGAGGTACGATTACAATTGCAATTTATCTATTCCTGAAAATTACTCAGTACCGTAATTATATGTTTGTTGGTGGGTGCAGGCTGGTTATAGGCACGTGGACACTGCAGCAGAGTACGGAGTTCAAGAGGAGGTAGTACTGTGTCATTTGAAAAAAAGAGATAGAAGAGCCTTTTATATATCTGAAATTCCTAAGTCATTCAATCTTTTTTGAATTCTTGGATTGGAAGCATGGTTCAAGGTCGCGGTCACGGCCTGGATCGTTCCACATCGGTCTCGGCATATCGGTCGCGGTTTCAAAGAGACGCGAATTTTTGAAATATTTAATATTCTAAAAATGGTAAAAAAATGATAAACAAAAATAATTAAAAAATTAGTAAAAATAATAAAAATTCGAGTTGACTTGGAGTGATTCGGCCGTTTCAACCCTTCACGGTAACGTCTCGGCGAGTCACTTGTTTCGGTATCATTTCGTCGCGGTCCTTGTTTCGGTATCATTTCGTTGCGATCTCGTCTCGGTCCTTGTTTCGGTATCATTTCATCGCGATCTCGTCTCGGCCTAGTCCGAGACAGCACCGTCTCGACCGAGTCGTCTCGGTCTCGGCCGAGTCTTCGAACCATTATTGTAACCAACTTGCCTAAAGAAGGAAGAAATTAAAATATCATAGTCGTATTTAGAGGGCACTGCTGACCTGTGCTTGCCATCACTAGTTATTTCAATTGAACTTCCATGGAACATCTTTATCGTTCTCATGCATTATCCAAAATATAACAGCTGGAAACTGGAAAGCCGTGTTCAGTAATTGCAGATGTCTAGTTGGTTAGCTGTCTGATTTTCTGTCTTCGTTTAGGTTGGGCTGGCAATCAACAGAGCTATACATGCAGGAGTTGACAGGAAATCTTTGTTTGTGACTTCTAAGTTATGGTAAAATTAGGATTAATTTTTCACCTTCGTACTCCTTGGTGAGTAGTACCTGCCGGTGCAAGCCGAACTAAAGCCGCTGTATTGGCATCTCTTGTAGGTGCGCTGATTTGTCCCCCGAAAGAGTCCGTCCTGCACTGGAGAAGTCACTCCGCGAGTTGCGTCTTGACTACCTTGATCTTTACCTGGTAAGTTTGGGGTAGTATAGCTCAGCTCTTGGGTTTATAACTTTATATTAAAAACAGTAAATGAATTTCCAATCTAACACTCCTCCATATTATTTCACTACAGATCCATTGGCCATTTCATCTGAAAGAGGGTGCAAGTAAGCCTCCTAAACAGGGGGATGTCATGAAATTTAGCATGGAAGGGGTTTGGAGGGAAATGGAGAAGCTTGTGAAGGATAATCTTGTGAGAGACATTGGAGTTTGTAATTTCACGCTCAAAAAGCTCAGCAAGCTACTAGGTCTTGCTCAAATCATGCCGTCTGTATGTCAGGTAACCAGGTTTTATCATAAGAATAGCCCTCTTTTAGTGTCTGCATGTAAGTGTCCCCGTGTGTGTGTGTATCTATTGTTATGCTTAGGTAATTGATCCTATTTTTTTATGAAGTTCAGATGGAGATGCACCCTGGATGGAGGAATGATAAAATGCTAGAGGCTTGCAAGAAGAACGGCATCCATGTCACTGTAAGGACTAAAAAATCTGTTCCTTTTCTGAATTTTTCTTCAGGGTTTGACTTATGATGATCACACCTTGTTGGGGTTCTTTTTAGGCAATGAATGGGAAGAGGAAAAACACAAAATTTGGCTTAGAGTTGCAAAAATTCGGAAGTAGTTGAGAGCTTTTAGTTAGCACTTGTAACGGACATTCTTCAGGTCCATTTGGATTTTTAGAGTTAGTTAAGACCACTAATCGTCTCAAGCTGCGAATATTGCATAAATTTCAGGCATACTCACCCCTGGGTTCACAAGACCACGGCCGAGATCTTATCCATGATCCTATAGTGGAGAAGGCGGCACGGAAGCTAAATAAGAGTCCCGGGCAGGTGCTCGTGAGGTGGGCAATCCAGAGAGGGACTAGTACCATCCCCAAATCAACCCACCTTGACAGGATTAAAGAGAACATAAGGGTATTTGAATGGGAAATCCCTGAGGAGGACTTCCAAGCTCTTTGCCGTGTTCCAGATCAGGTATGATCGTCCCTTCTCTGCAGAAAAATGACGCCAGTATTACTGGGGCGGGTCCTGATTACAAATGTGCAATTTGGAGTTTTAGCAGCAATACCTTTGTACTTGGAAAGTTTCAGCACAAAAATCGGCTACCAAGACAAATTAAAGCTAAAGTTTGAAGGGTAAATGTGTTGCATGGAAGTGTCTGTCATAAATGGTTTAGTGATTGCCCATCATCTTTGTTGAAATTAAATGAAATGATAGGAAAACTTTACGTGGATCTGCCTTTATGATTGCAGAAGCGAGTTTTGGATGGCGAAAATCTGTTCGTGAACAGACTGATGGACCATATAAGAGCGTGGCAGACGTCTGGGACCATGAAGACTAGATACTACTAGTCATTCATTCGTTTTTCCTGCGATGTTAAGTTTGAGAGGGTTTGATAACTTAAAATGAGCTGTATGGAAATGCTGGTGGCAGATTTCAATTTTAGTCGAGTCAGGGACAAATTCTGTGATTTTGTTCGCTTTTTTTTTTGGGTTTTTTTTTTTGTTTTTTTTTGGGTTGGGGGTGTTTTTTAGAGAGAGAGGGGCGGGGGGGGGGGTGTGTGTTTTCTTCAGGCGCTTGTGTTTCTGTTCTTCTGGTACTGGATTGGACCTCCTTTGGGAGTCCACCGATGATTAGTCTCTGCAAATTAAAAAGCAAGATCATGGAACTCCGAAACCTTTCAGGAGCAATATCGTCCACCCCTTTTTTTAACAAAATTTATGGTATGTCCAAGTCTCATTAGATTCAAAGCCTTTCTGGTAACTCACATAATGCGTTCCCATTCTGATCTCCGATTCATTTTTCTTTGTTTCAGGATTATTTCCTCGTGGCATTTGAAATATAACATTATACTAATATATATTGAAAATCTCGGTATGTTAGAAGAAATTACGCAACCAAATATGAAACATTAACATTAAAAAAGCATGATAGATGCTAACATTGCTTCGACTAGAAAGGCTGGCAGCATATAAGTATCACAAAAGGTCCGACAGTCCCAAAAGTAAGCGAGAGTAGAATGGATGGAGGCTGAAACTGACAACGATAAGGATACAGTAATGCGTATGACAATGGAATGAATTGTTATTATTCAGGGCCATGCAATGCAATGGTCCTCTAATTGGTCCTTGTTCCTTCCACCTCTCTATCCTTATCCATATCCATATCATCTACTAGCAAGCACCTCATCGATTTCTAGCCTGTATCGTATGTTATGTTATGATGATTTCAATTGTTAACTCTTTTTTTTCCCCCTCCCTCCCTTGGGCTCTCCTACAGAATGTTTTGAGATCAGCAGAATGTTGTGGCGTCTGAATGCTCATTATTGAACTTTTTCTAGGTTCCCTGTTGGATGTCTTCGATTTCTAATGAGGGTTTCCCGACTAGATGAGCTCCCTGAAGAATCCGCCAATTGCTCGCCTTTAGCTCCCTGAACATCGTGGGTTGGCTTTTCTTTAACTTGACAGTTCAAAACGGTATCCAGGCCATCGTCACTTCGCGAGCTTGATACATAATTATGGGATACAGGACCGAGCTCTGTATAGTTTAAGCTGAGTTCAGTCACTTCTGACAGGGACTTGGTCAGCAATGGTCGCTGGCGTTTTAGGAACAGGCATACGACTGCGCAGTCATCCATCTTGGCGCATGGATATTTATATCTCCATGCTCGAATGGCACGATCTACCAGAAGTTTGGCTGCCGTGGATCGCTTCCTTGCAGATGCAACTATTCTTACCACCTCGTTGTTTGATAAAACATCCCATATCTGGAAAAAAAAAAAAGATGCAACAAGAAGTTTAGTAAACTGGGTTGAGATCTTAATTATAAAGCCTATTTCTATTCGAGACCTTACCCCGTCAGTTGCTAAGACCACAAATTCATCTCTCTCTGTGAGCTTTCTGTAAAATACTTCAGGGGTTGAAATGAGGCCGAAATCTTTTAAGCAGAAGTCTCCAAATGCTCTTGCCATGGCAAGACCTGGGCAATCTTCATCAGGCATCCATATCCTGTACACATTCGGTTCTCCTTCCATCGCCATAACTCTGCCTTGGCAACTTCTAATCCGTTCAGCTTCACCTGGATTACAAGAGATGATCAGAACTAGTAATACTAAGAAAGAAGCCGTAAAAAAATGCAACATTAGATTCCCAATTGTTCTGCTTTTTTGGAAGGAGAGACGGACTTGGTAGGTTTGGTTTCAAATCAACCGTCAGTTGCTCGGCAACGAGCAGATCCTGGTCATCTCTGGTACACATAACAGCTCGAGAATCTCCCAAGTTGGCAATAATCAGGTGCTCTCTCTGAAAGAGTTGACTAGCAGAAAAGCATAAGCAACACGCACCAAGGAGACTTCTATTATAACTACTACTTTCTAAAATTCATTCATGGCAATGTATAATTGCACCTGTTTAATCACTGTCACTGCAGTTGTACCACTGCAGTAGCTCTCAATACCGGCGTCACCTTCAAGTTCTTCATCCATTTCCTTGAAGGACTTCAATATGCGAGCTTTCCATGAAGAATAGAATTGATTCTCAGACTTGTCACAATCATGACTGCTACCATCACCAAAATTGCCAGCATTTTCATCACCACCACTGCTTGCAGCACTGATATTAAAACCCTTAGATGCTGATGATGATGACGATGAAAGTTTGGAGGGCAAGAGATCACGCACATAACGTGCCACAACGTGGCCGGATGGACCATGTCCGTCAAAGACACCACAAAAGATCATGTCCCTCTCTCCTGTGAAGCTCTGCAGATAACAAGACATTTAACATTCTAGAGCACATGAGAGCTTCAACGCAAATAACTCGATGGACGGGCATCATCGTACTTTTCAAAGATCATGCATGGTATAAATACACAGCTTGAGCTACCCCTATTGAGTTGGATACTCGATCGAGAGATGGGATTAAGAAATAGTCGAGGTGGAAAAACGACGAGAAGAAATATGCAATTGAACAGGAAAGATGAGAATCATAATTGCCCGGTGGGAGACGGGAATTTGGAGCATTCCCGTTCAATGAAATAGACATCCATTCTGAAATCAACATCCAAAGAGGAAGAAAAGAGAAAAGAAAAGAAAGGGGATCAAACCTCCCATACTGTCATGGCATCTTGGTTGGTTCCCTTTTTGCCTTGTTGAATAAACGTAGAAATGTACTTGGACGATCCTTGAAGCCTCACACGAGCGCCATGATCGCCTCTTCTTACATAAAGGTCCTCGTCTTCGATCGTTTTCTCTACAACCTCGTCCGCAGCATAGAAACCGTCAAACCTTTCAACTCGTTGGCACGAACAACATGCACCCATGTCCGCCTTCCTCTGGAGATGGCCTTGAAGTTAAGACCCAACCAAATGCATTTCTCCAGTCAAAAGCCCACAAAAACAAATTAAACAACCAAGAAAACAAATTAAAAAGTCATGATATGATATGCTACCTGTGAATTCGATCGATGGTATGGGTGCATGAAGAGGCAAAGGGACGCTAACTTTCAATACTCGGGCAGATGGAAGTTGATATAATACGGGCTTTCATATTGTGATGTGTTTTGGGACAAAGACGAACAACAAAAAGGGCCAATCACAGATTTTGCCCTTTCATGAACCCCTTTCTTGTTTGTTGAGTTGTAATCAACATAACAACAAACATGTACTACTATTTTGGAAGAATATATTTTTCAATTATCGAGAGGCTCTGCTTTAGATCAACAATAAGGTCAGAAAGAAGAGTTCTTTTGCTGACAATGCGGACATGTGACGTGAGACACAGTCATGCCCAAATTCGCATATATACCCTCGATCTTACTGCGTCTCTTATCGCGGGAAGCCTCCCATTCTCTCTCTTCCCCCTGCCCCTCTTTTCTCCTATTTTTCTGAGTTCTTATCGCTAATATCCGTTCTACTATATATTCTTGCCTAGCCTTTCTTCCACCATTCTTGTCCATGCGTCTAAAATTCAACTACTTCGATCAAACATTAACGAGAATCATGAATAATACTAGTATAATCTTTTTAACCCAAAAAAAAAAAAATAATCACAGTAATGATTTTTAGTGTTTCATTAGCAACTTGATGAAAACACCATGGACTAGAATTTTTAACAATTTTCAATGCCAAAATCGTGTTAATTATAATTCGAACTCTGAACCTAATAGCTCCACCCCCAATTGTGAGATTTAAGATTCGAATTCTAAATTTGGCAACGAAAATAACTCTAAGGGAAATGAGTTTGGTGCTATATATTTTTAGAGGAATGCGTAAGCAATTAGTCAATAGACAGGAAAATGGGCTGTAAAAAGGGAAAATGAAGTAAAAACCAGAAAAGTTTTTTTTTTTTCTGAAATATGGATAGCAAATTATTTCAAATAATGTTTCACCTACATCATAAACACATTTCTCAACCCACTTTTTTATATTCCCAATCATCCTTTTATTTCACATACATCACATTACAAAAAGTGTAACACTAATTATTTCAAACTAGTATTTTGACCCGTGCTATGCACGGGATTATATTGCAAATCAAAATAATATTGTATATATTTATATATTGTGGTACAGAATAATATATATATATACTAAAAATTTTAAAGAAGTGTATGCTTAACATGTTGAAAAAATTTTAATTTAGAATGATTTACATGATAGAGGAATTGTTAACATATTTAAGGAGAGAGTTAGGTTGGATGGTAACGTGAGAAGAGTTTTCTTGAAAAAATCAATTTATCAGTACCCGACAAAATATATTATGTTATACTCATATATCAAAACTTATAACATAAAAAATAAGTTATAACCAATTTATTTTCTTCCATTTTTAGAAAAAAAAATGTTTCTCCTGTCTTGTATCGCTAAAATTGTTGACTACATTTAGATTAACATTTTTCATAAACTTTAACGTATATTTTTAAAAAAATCTATGTAATATATGTTTTTAGAGTTCTCAAAATTATTAAAAATTACCATCATTTCCTTCTTCTCTTATCTGCCAGTTAGTCATGAGATGCCTCCTACGACTTTTGTATATTCTATATGGTACCACTCTCTCTATTATTTTTTTTGTCATCTCTGTCATATCCCTACAATCCATTTTCTTCTTCTCTCCTTTCTCCGCTCATCCTTGTAACCCACATTTCTTCTTCAACTTTTCTCGTCACTTTTCAACTCCTCACCATTTTCTTCCCTCCCTCCTCCCCCCATACCCAACCTCTAAATTCATACTCCTGCGACCGAATATATTTAACTGTACCTATCATAATGAAAATATAAAATTGAAAATTGATTACAATGGTTGCAATTATTAGTATCTAAAAATGGAAATGAAAAATTGATAATATCTAGAATATCCTCAAGCACTACAATCAATATATATATATTTAACATAGCAAATACATATTTACACATGAAGACAACAATAAGAATACATAAAATAATTAATGATACCAAAAGTTATCCTTAATGTCTGGGTTTTGCACTCTTATTCAAATCTAATCAGGGTCAGATATATACAAATTAGGGTCGAATGTTCTATATTTTTTCCTTAAACTATAATGTTACTTTTTTAAAAATTTTTGGTAGAATTGGCGTTGTTATTATCATTATTTTTATCAAAAATGAATATTTCAAAAAAATGTCCACGTTAAAAGGCTAGTACTATTTTGTTTTTTATTTAGTGATTTCATAATTTAAATTTCATAAATGGTACCATTCTTGATTTTTTAAATTAATGACATTATTTCCTTGTTGTTTTCTATTTAATTTTGCTCTTTTACTTAGGATTACTAAGTTAAAAGATAAAATATTATCATTTACTTTTTTACTTTTACTATGTTTGGGAATATTTTTTCTTTATTTACTCTCCCACTAATAAACTTCAAACCAAATTCCTATATAAGTGGACCCACTTTTTACTTATTTAAATTAGAAAGGCATGGAAGCCACTTCTTACTTAGGAAAATATTATTTGCACTCTATTTTTTATTATTTGCAATTCCACCATTTGTTTTATCATATAGTCTAATTAATGAAAACTATATGATCAAAATGATTATTGAAGTGTGAATAACAAAAAATGGAGTGTAAATAATCTTACTTATTTAAATTAATAAGAAAGCATAAAAGGATGTTATATTTGTTATCTTCTGTTATGGTCTTATAAAAGTTTTAATTGGAGTAGAATCATAAATAACATAAGGCAATCGGAAACGTGATAGGTCGAAGTTCAAATAGGATAACATGCACGTTAACCAACAGTTTGAAATGAAATGATTTTAAAAAGTAACCAACAATTTCAAATGTAAATAGTAGATGTGGAAGTTAAGAGAAATATATTTTATAAATTAAATTAAATGTGAAATGCTAGAAAAACAGAATTGGTAGTGGGAAGATGCGTATAGATAATACTCTATCCAAACAAACTCATTATTGAATAATGCAATAAAAGGTTAAAAGGGCAACATTGACTCTGAAGTTTCCATTGACATTTTTGAGAAAAGAGTGTTGTCAAGTATTAAAAACTTTAATTGAAACGCCAACATCATTAACCACAATATTAACAACCCAATCCTAAAAAAAAAAAAAAAAAATAGAGAGAGAAAAAAACCCCATACAGAAAAAAGGTCCACTAAGATTTTATAAATTTGGATGGTACCGAAACTAACTACTACTAAGTATCTCACGTACAAGGTCTTTACCATTTTATCTGGACGACTTATTTGCCGGAAAAGGCATCTCACCTCAAATAAAAAATATTCTAAAATGCATGAATCAGGAGGTTCTAAAATCCGCAGGAGAAATGCTCCGTGTAAATCAGCAACCTTTCAAAGTCACCAAAAGCAGCAACATGAGGCGACTGGGTCATCAACGCGGATGAAGCAGATGAGCACTCGTCATTTACTCGGGTAGACTATACAGCACCAATCGTGAATGACGGAAATCTAGTCGAATCAAAACAAATGATGAATCAGGGGGTCCATAATCTCTTCTTTAAGCAGAGTAATCATGGGGATTAGGCCATGGCAACTTCTTAAGGATGCTTCATGACAATTCACTAATATCATGCCACACCCAGCGGCGCAGCCACATGTTGTTGAGGGTGTGTAATTGCCCCCTTCAACTTTGGAAAAATTGTTTTTTAGACTTGGAAAGTTTAGAAATTCTTAGAATTGCTCCTCGTTTAGAGGTCTCTTTTCTGAGTGCATTGCCCCTCAAAATCTACAAAATTCTCTTTTTTTCTAGTGCATTAATCACTACCCTTCACAAAAATATTAAAAATATGAATATTAATCCAAGCATAAACTCTGTCGATGTTTCTAAACACAAATTGGTAAAGTGATTTTTATTGTTAAATTTGAGTATGATTTAAACTTAAAAACATATTTTACATAAGAAAAAAAATGTATATTTTACATAAACCTTCATTATTACTGCATACTATATGCTGTCGGAGATTAACCTCTTTTCACCTTAGGATCTTAACATTGCCACTAGCCACGGCAGTCCTTTTTTTAACTTAAGCACTACAGTATAAAAAGGAAAAATTGTTCAAAATGTCCCTTACAAATCATTAAATAAATTTTTTCATCCTTCATTTTTTAAATATTAACTTTACATTACTTATAAATTATGTCGATAAAATTTGGTCCCAATATAGACTTTCGATCACTTTTTACCCTGCAATTCATCACGTAATCCATTTATAGTCATTTTTTCTTAAAGGCAAAAAAAATTAGATCCCACTTATAGTTAAACAAATGACCAAATTCATATTCAATTTTGCCCCTAAAAAAATAGTACTGATCTAAACTAAATTTTTTTCCTAGTAAAATAAGATTGAACGCAATGTATATCTATTTTTGCCACTAAAAATGTGAAATTTAATATTTTTGTACATAAAAGTGACTATATTATATGGAGAACATGATGATTTCAAAATAAAAAGTTAGAATATTAGACATGTTCGGAAAGCAACTTTTCTAAAAAAAAAAATTGTACATTTTCTGTTAGCGCATTTTTCAATTATCTTTCTACCTCACGTATATCAAATTGTTATGGTACATTTTTTTTTACAGAAACTCCGGAAAATAGCAACCCAAACGGATATGGTTAGGACTAAATTTTGCAAACTTAAGTTTGTAAGGAATGCAAAGTTAAAAAGGAAACTGAAACGTGCAGAAAGAAAAAACGTTCATCATTATAAGGTCAATAATTCTAGTTCAGAACATCCATCCATCCTTTTAGCTTGGAAATGTAAAACTTACCACCAAAGGTTAAGACACCCTCGCAGAAACAACAGGACCTTTGAATACGTA